GGGCCCACCCCAGGGTGCTCGGGGGGCGCGCGGGCGTGCTTCTTGCGCGGCTAGCGCGCACCTCCTGGGGGGGGCCGCTCGCCCCCGCCTCGCGGCAAGGGCGCGCACTTTCGGCCGAGATTTAGGTCGGGCATGTCCTCCCACAGGCGGATTTTGAACATACAAACATCAAAACATATTCCACAATGGCCCAAGGAATTGTAGAAAAATCGTCCCCAGACTATGTTTTGACTATTTTTGAACATTTCTCCTGTAGAGGGATGTGCCCGACCGAGGGCAAGGGCGCCGCGCACTTCGGCCGAGCTGCTGCGGCCCGAGCTCCGAGGCTGCGCGGGCGGCGGTGGCCAGCGAGCGTCGGAGGATCTGTTCCGTGCCGCAAGCAGTCCACCCACGGCCATCCTCCATGCGCCACCCCAGACCCCCGACGATCGCGATTCTTGTCGCAGCGACGGCCCCCAGAGGTCTGGCGCCCTTCCTCAGGACCGGTTTTTCATCCTGGGCCGTCCCGAGGCCCGGCGAGGGCCCCGTGAGGCCGAACATAGCGACAAACCTCCCGTCGTGATTTGTCCACGGCGCGAGGAGCCCTGGGACTCTCGAAGATGCCGCGGCAAATGTCCGCCGCCACGCCACTGTCGACGAGCATCGCAGGCTCCCGAGGGAGGGCCAAGGAACGTCCGAGGGGAGGGGCGGCCACCGCGGCCGGGGCGCGGGCTGCGCCTGGGCACGGCGCCGGGTGATTCGTCAGGCGAGGGGCCTCCGTGGCAGGACTGTGCGGCGCGAGGCCCGAGGGTGGCTGGCCGCCCTGGCCGCCACGCGCGCGCCCGGGGACGCTCTGGGCAGGAGATCCCAGAATCGAATCGACGAGTCGGCTCGGCGATCGACAGGAATCGGGTCAACGGATACCGGCAGCCGAGTCGGGAAAAGTCGGGTCGGCAGACATCGGCAGGCTATTAGGCCTCCAATGAGAAGTCGGATCCCAAGTCGGAATCCGAAATCGAATAGAATCGGAGTCGGAGTCCATCGACATCGAATCGAATCGAATCGGCGGCATCGAAATGAGCCCTGTCTGGGTCGGGGGTTGCTATAAAGGTGCCCCTAGCTCAAGGTGTGCCCTCAGCTTGTCGCTCGATCTGGGAGTCCCACGACGCCCTCGAGGCCTCGTGAGGGGATGCTCTAGCAGGCCGTGGGAGCCTCCTTGGAAATCCTGGGGGCACTTCTTTGTCGTCGAAAAACTCCACTCCGACTGGCACTGCGCGAGACACCGCAGCCCCTCGCGCGACCCCGGCAGGAGCGTCCCCTGCAGCGATACATTCGGACGGGGGGGACGAGAGGAGGGAGCAGGGGGCAGGCTCCCCTGGCCGCCCTCCGTCCTGGGGGTGCCTTGGGCCAGGGGCACTTCCAGCAACACCCGGCTGGGGGGCCTGGGCGGGGCTTGCGTTGGAGCAGGCGCGCGGGCGGGGGGGGGCCGTGGGAGGAGGAGGGGCTCTCAGCTGGCTATCCTGTGGTGCTGGGTCCTCATTTTGAAGAGGCGGTCCCCGCGTCCACTCCTCTCCTCCTCTCCTCCCCCTCCCACTCCTCCCTCACCTTCCTCCTCCCGCTTCTCCCTCCTCCTCCCGCTTCTCTCTCCTCCTCCGAAGAAGAGGAAGAGGAGGAGGGGGGAGGAGGAGGAGGAGGAGCAGGAGGAGGAGGAGGAGGAGGAGGATGAAGACGATGAGAAGGAGGACCAGTGTAAACCCAATAGTCACCAACGATGTTAGAATAAACCTTCCCCCAAGCTCCCTCTTCATAGGCCCCTTGCCTTTTTCAATCCCTGAAGCATGCCAAAACATCATCTCGGCATTTCAACGCCAAGGAGAAACCTGACTGTTGCGTCTTGACGATCCGAGATTTCAACACCGCGAATCATCGTAACTGTCTCGCCCTCCTAATTTTGAATATTTTCAGCACGCCATTTCTGGTACGCCGATCATGGGAGTCCGTGAAGGTCTTGCAATTTTGTAATAAGAATGTGCGCGGCGCTAGGGCGAGAACCACATTCTGAGAAGGAACTGCCTTCAATCCGTGAAATTCGTGCAATTTTGAAAAAGAATGTGCGCGGCGCAAAGCCGAGAGCCACATTTTGAAAACGACCCGAATCCGCGAAGCCCTTGCCAATGTTTAAGCCTCAGGATCATATGTGGTGGGGAATTCTCCGGCGAAGCTCCCAGCCCGCCCTGAAAACTGCATTGGGGGTGCAACAGGGAGACGTTATTGATAAGGAAAAGGAATGGAGGAGGAAGAGGAGGAGTAGGAGTAGGAGTAGGAGTAGGAGGAGGAGGAGGAGGAGGAGGAGGAGGAGGAGGAGGAGGAGGTGGAGGTCGTGCGCGCGGGCCCCGCTGTGGCCGCCTCTCCCACTCTGCGGGGGGTGGGGCGCGCCAGGGAGCAGGCCTTCCTCCCCGCACGCGCCCCGCAGGCCCCGACAGGCACCGCAGCGGCAGCGGGTCCCCGGCGCCGAGGGGGCGGCCAAGCTAAGCCGGCAAGACCTTGTGGGAGCCAAGCCTCCTCGCGCTGCGACAAAATCACGAGGGAGGTTTTTTGGGTTCGGCCTCCAGAGGCCCTCGCAGGGCCTCGGGACCGGCGAGGGCCGAGGCGTCTGGGCCAGGACCCAAACCTCCTCGCGCTGTGGAAAAACACCGACGGGAGGTTTTTGCTATTTTCGGCCTCCAGAGGCCCTTGCCAGGCCTCGGGACCGTCAAAAAACAACTCGGGATGAGAAACTGGTCCCCGGGAGGAGGTCCAGACCTCTGGGGGTCGACGTTGTGAAAAAGTCGAAAGGTCGGGGGTCTGGATAGGGGAGGGGAAAGCAGGTCATCGTGGCTCCGTCTGCGGGGAGGCTGCCGCCCAGGTCTCAGAATCCAGGCCGCGCGAGTGATGGGGAGTCCACGTCGGCTGCCAGGGGCTCGTCGGCCGAGTGCAGCGAGACTGCTTTTCGAGTCGCTGTCGCCCGCCGTGCCTATACATTGAAGCTCGCGGTGAGGGAAGGGGAGGGATCGAGGATCGAGCCCCCTCCTCCTCCTCCTCCTCCTCCTCCTCCTCCTCCTCCTCCTCCTCTTCTTACTCCTCGTACATCCTTCTCCGTCTTTCGTCCTCCGCCCTCCTCTTCAATCCTCTCCTCCTGCTCCTTCTCATCATCCTTCTCTTCTTCTTCTTCTTCCTCCTCCTCCTCCTCCTCCTCCACCTCCTCCTCCTCCTCCTCCAGGGCCAGCCGCCTGCGCCAGGATGGGTAGCGGGGCCGTGTAGACCTCCACCTCGCACAACGACAGGGGACTGCCCGTGGTGCTCATCACCCACACGTACCTCCAGTGAGGGAGAAGAGGAGACAAGCAGGAGGAAGAGCAGGAAATGAGGAGGAGGAGGAGGAGGAGGAGGAGGAAGAGGAGGAGGAGGAGGAGGAGGGCTCCTCTTTCTCTCATCCTCGTCTCCTCCTCCTCGTCTCCACCTCTTCATCAACTGCTCCTTCTCTTCCTGCTCCTCATCCTTCTGCTACTCGTCCCCATCCTCCTTCCAGTATCATAGTCGAGCGTCTCCTCCTTTCTCCTTCGCATACTCCGCCTCTGATCATCATCCTCCTTTTCCTCCCCCTCCTCCTCCGTATACTACTCATCTCTTCATCAAGCGATGAACATTCTCAACAGCAGCGTCAAACAACATCATCAAGATACCCCACTCGCGCTCCTCATTCCCAGGCATCTCAATGTAGCATCGCATGAGTTCTAAGGAGATCATGCTGTTTCCCCCCCCCCCACACACACATCTCCGCATCAGCATGGTGCTCCCCAAACAAATACATAATGCTAACCATCCTCACCCTCAACATCAGCTACAGCTTCATCAGCATCAGCATCGATCGTCATCTCATCATCATCATCACCAGCATCATAAGCATCATAAGCATCATCACCATCATCAGCATCATCATCAGCAGCAGCACCAGCAGCAGCAGCATCACCATCATCGTCAGCATCATCATTCGCATTGTCAGCATCAGCATCACCATCATCCTCAGTATCAGCATCGTCAGCATTAGCATGATCATCCTTATCGTAGTCAACATCACCATCACCATCATTATGATCACCAGCATCACGGCAAACTCTGCGTCCGAAGCGGAGTTTGCCCTGGTGGCCGAGGCGCCCTCCCCAAGGCGTAAGGCCGTTCGTCGGAACAAGCGGCGCGGCGACGCGTCAAACATGGATGTTTGTTGTGTGCTCCCATCCGAGCGTCTTCAGTCCCTCTAGAATTAGGTCGGGCATGTACTCCAACAGGCGGGCTGTGGAAGCAGCACAAGAGATAGCAAGCACAAATCACACGTGAGCAATACTAGTAGAAGCATCGTCCCCATACGACCTGTTCGACTACGTATGTAAGCACTTCTCCCGTAGGAGAGGGACGCACCCGACTTGATTCCAGAGTGGTGTTCCCGCTGCAGCGTGGGCCTCGTGACGGGATGGGGGCCGCGCCACCGCCGCCCAGGCAGGGCGCCCTCGCCCCCTGCGCGGGCCGCGCCTCCTGGGGCCGAGCCCCTCCTCGTCGTCGTCGCCCCGCCCTGGTCTTCCTGCCCCGCCCTCCCCCCACTGGGTCCTCCTGCTCCTTCCCCGCTCCTTCCGCTCCAGCTCCTGCCGCTGCTGCTCGTCCACGACCTCCTCCGTCTTCATTCTCGCCCTCTTCCTCCTGGTTATCCTCTTGCGCATCCGCCTCGTCCTTCTCCTCCTCCTCCTCCTCCTCCTCCTCCTCCTCCTCCTCCTCCTCCTCCTCCTCTACGCAGCTCTCCATTTCCGATTGTGCAAAATACGATGTGGTCTTTGTTGGAGTTCCAGAGCCGCTGCGACACGCGTCTGCGGATAGAGAAGCATCAGCACGCACGGAGGGGATGGGTGGACAAGGGCTAGGTTTGCCAGATACGGCGCGAGCGCACCCACCTTGTCCTTCTCCTCTCTCCTCCCTGACTCCCCCTCCTCCTTCCCCCTCCATCACCCTCCCTCCCTCCTCCCTCCTCCCTCCTGGGCGGTATCCCCCGGGGCCGTAGGCGACCCGAGGAGGGGAGGGCGAGGAGGAGGGAGGAGGAGAAGGGAGGAGGAGGACGGGTCGCCTAAGCCCTTCGGAGAAACCCTCCCCTCCCTCCGCCCTTGGGGCCGCGGCCCCACCTTCAGGGCCCGCCTCTGGAGCACCGCGAGCCGACCCCATCCCCGCGGGGCCCCCGCTCGGCCCCCGCGAGAGGCAGCTGCAGTCCTGTGGACAGACGCTGGGGTCGCCTCGCCTCCTCCTGCTACTCGTGCCTCCTCCTGGGTCGGGGAGACGTAAGACTCGGCTTCGGGGGACTCGGGGTTGGCCTGACGGGGCCATCATGAAACTGACGAGGCCCCATCTGAAATTTGACCCGGGCTCCCGCTGCAGACATGCCACGAAGACTGGACCGTCAGAATCCAGGACGCGCTCGTCAAAAAGCGTCGGCAAACCCGAGTTTCGGCTTACTCGAGTCTTACGTTTCCACGGCTGGGGTGCGTTCTGGCCAGGATTTCGAGGCGACTCCGGCGGTGGCGACGAGGGCCTCCCAGGAGGACCCCCATATGGGAAAAAGCGAAGCAGAGGCGGCGGGAGGGTACCTCTCCCTCCCCCGAGGCTCCCTCTCCCCTCCCCCCTCTCTCCTCCTCACTCCTCCCTCCTCCCCCCTTCCCCCCTCCGTCCCCCTCCGTCCCCCTCCGTCCCCCCTCTCTCCCCCTCCCTTCCCCCCTCCGTCCCCCTCCTCCTCCTCGCCCGCTGCTCTGCGCCCGAGAGGCCCGCTCCCAGGAGGCACACGAACCGACGTCGCTTTTGTCCACCCTCGCTCACCAACAGATACCAACCGATGCCAAGCTACGGTCCGCACCAGTCAGGCCGCTTGACCAGGAGGCGCGTGGTATGACTTGGTGCTGCGTGAAAGCGAAAGCGGGGCAGGAAATTCTAGAAGAAGAAAAAGCGGCATAAGCATCAAGTACTGGCGCTTCGCGCGGATTTCTTGGATCTGCGCTGGACCCCCCTCCCTGGCGCGCGGAGCGCGCCAGGGGCGGCGCTGGTGGCGCCGCGGGGGGAGGGCCCAACAAGGATCCAAGGAATCCGCGCGGAGGCGCCAACAGTTTATGATTATGGCGATTATTCTGCTTCGATGGTTCACGCTCTGAGGTCCGCGTCGACTCCACGCCAGATCCGCGTCGAGGCCGCATCGAGCCCGCGTCGAGCACGGGAAAAGACCAAGTCTGGGGACAAGCGAGGCCCCCCGAAGATGCAACGTGTCCCCCGCCTTCTCGCTGCCGCTCCCCCCGCCGCGCGCCGCCGCCGCTTCACCCCTCAAGCCTGGGGGGGGGGGCGGGGGCGCCTCCCGAGCAGCCCGCGCGTGCCGTTGTGGGCGCCGCAGCCCGCGGCGGCGGGGGGCCACCTGGGGGGGGGCGAGGGGCTTCTCGCCGCCGAGGAGGTGCACGGGGCCGAGGCGGGGCGTCGTGGAGCGGCGGCGGCCCGCCAGCCCGCCCCGCGGCGGCGGAGGGCGGGGAGGAGGAGGGCGAGGATCGGCTGCGCGCAGGAGTGGCCCTCTGCCAAGGCGATCCGCCGTTCGTCCCCGCCTCCTCTGGCTCCTCGTCCGCGCGTGCCCGTCTCTCCGGGATGGATCGGACCCGCGATAGCAAAACGTGGTTTAGTGAAAACGACCTCGGGCCTAAACCCGGCGGGCGCAAGCCTGGAAAATGACGGCCGCGGCGCCCTCTCGAGAACCCAAAACGGCCAATTCACTAATCGACGTGTCTGGGTGTGGGTTCTGTCCACCCCCGAGTCTCCTCTCTGGACGCCCGAGGTGGGTACAGTCGGACCTGGTCCCGAAGAACATCCTGTGAGACCCCGCGTCGGCCAACGGACAAGCAGAGCATCCAGTGGTGCCCTCCCCAGGATGCGCAAATAATATCCAACAATAAAGAAGAACACGAGGGTACCCTCTCCGAACCGACCTCGATCTTATACCTCGGCCTGGCTGTACGGAAATAATGGGTACGATGCCGAACAATAAATGTTGTCGAAAACCGACCGCGGCCGCTGTTGGGCATGCGGCCTTCTGACTCAACATGACAACGTCCGCAGCGAACCCTGTTCACAATGGACAGAAGTTGCTGCCGGTCTTCGCACCCATGATATCAGTACCCATTTCAATCGGACCGATCCTCCTCATGTTCTTTACCTGTTGGCAGGGTTACCTGCAAGTCTCTGATACACAGCTGAGCTTCTGCGCGAGGTACGGCATGTGCTACGCAGAGAGCGGGAACGCACATTACGTCACGTTCTAGCTTCATCCTGCCACACACTGCGTTCAAGCGAACGCCGTCGGCGATCTAACAACCAAGAAAGCGCATGACGTTAACCGCGGCCATCGCTCACACGTAGTAGAGATGGGAGCGCCATGTATTGGAAATATCTCCCAATCCATTTTCGGCCATCCTCCCAGAGAGCCCCCGCACCGAATAATCCAGCAACCAGCTCCCAATGAACCGCGCAGACCGCCATCACAACTGCAATGCACGTATTTCCCAGTCGGTCGCACCGAAGCTCCAATGTCGATCAGGGGTCCGTCGAGCGCAAAACCGTTTCCTGCAAGAGCCTCGGCTTCTCCTGCAAGAGCGCAACTCCTTCTCCTCTCCTTGCTGATCTTTCTCCTCCTCCTTCTCCTCCTCCTTCTCCTCCTCGTCCTCCTCGTCCTGCTCCTCCTCCTCCTCCCCATGTGTTTGCTCCTCTTCCATCTCCCCTGTCTCATCCTCCTCCTGCTCATCCCTCTCCTCCTCCTCCTCCTCCTCCTCCTCCTCCTCCTCCTCCTCCTCCTCCACCTCCTTCCACGACTCCTCCTCCCTCCTCCTCCTCCTGCTCCTCATACTCCTCCTCCTCCTCCTCCTCCTCCTCCTCCTCCTCCTCCCTCCTCCTTGTGCTCCCCTCTCCTCCTCCCACGCGAACTCCCTCCTCCCTCCTCTCTGCTTTCTCCCGACGACGACGACGACGACGAGGAGGACGACGACGACGAGGACGACGACGACGGCGACGACGACGACGACGGCGACGACGGGGCGCTGCGGCCCGTGGCGGCGGCGGGGGCCACCCGGCGTCGACGCCGCCACCCTCGGAGCGGCCGACGCGCACCCCCGCGGCGCACAGCACGGGCTCGCCTGGCGCGGGACGCCCGGGCGCGGCCGAGCCCGAGGGTCCTCCGAACGCGAGGCGAGGCGAGGCGAGGCGAGGCTCCTCCTCCTCCACCACCACCGCCTCCTCCTCCTCCTCTTCCTCCTCCTCTTATTGTCCGTTTGTCAAACTTAGGCTTCTTGGCTGGGGCGTCCCCCCCTCCTCCTCTTCCTCCTCCTCCTCCTCCTCCTCCTCCTTTTCTTCGTCCTCCTCCATCTCCTCTTTCTCCTCCTCCTCCTCCTCCAGTTCCTCCTACTCCTCCTCCAGTTTCTCCTCCTCCTCCTCCTCCTCCTCCTCATCATCATCATCATCCATTCCTTCTCCTTATAGATAACTTCTCCCTGTCGCACCCCGAGGCCAGTTTTCAGGGCGGGCCGGGAATTTCGCCTGAGACTTCCTTACCACTTATGACTCGGAAGCTTAAACAGTGACAACAGCTTCACGAATTGAGGGCGGGTGGTTTTCAAAATGTGGCTCTCGCCGTAGCACCGCGCACATTTGTTTTCAAAATTTGTCAGAGCTTCACGGATTGAGGGCGGGTGATCTTCAAAAGTTGGCTCTCGCCTTAGCGCCGCGCACAATCGTTTTCAAAAAAATAGGAGGTTCACGGACTGAGGGAGGGTCGTTTTCAAAATTCGGCTCTCGCCTTAGCGCCGCGTGGATTCGCTTTCAAAACTTATAAGGGATTCACGGGTTGAGGGCGCATCGTTTTCAGTATGTGGCTCTCGTTTTCGCGCCGAAGTTTATATAATTTCGGCGCGAAAACGAGAGTTCCTTTTTTATATAACTTTCGAAGTTGTTTAAGTTGTGCAAGGGTGTTACAGATTAGGGGCGGTCCCTTTTCAACATGTGGCTCTCGCCTTCGCGCCGCGCACATTCGTTTAAAATATTGCAAGAGTTTCACGGGTTCCCATGATCAACGCACCAGAAATGATATTCTGGAAGGATTCAGGATTATGCGGGTGCCACTGCTGTGTTGAAGTCCCAACGATGGTGTTATGGTACGTGTTATCGTCTTCGTCCTTCTCCTCCTCCTCCTCATCCTCCTCCCCAGGTTCCTTCTCCCCCAGTTCCTCCCGCCCCCTCATCCAAGGCGTATAGTTGACGTCCCCATTGTCGCCGTGCGTGATGTTGGCCACGTAGATGTCCACCTCCGTGGCGTGGCCGCTGGAGCCGCCCTGCGCCTGGCTGGTGAGCACCCAGACGGCCTCAACGCGCGAGACCTTGCCGAGGTCCACCTTCCGGCGCGCCCGGCCCAGCCCAAGGGGGGATTGGCGGCGCGCAGAGTGGGGAGGGGGAAAGGTTTCTCAGAAGGAGGCTGCTTCTTGGAAGGCGTGGGCCCTACATTTATAGATAAGGCCCGCGCCTTCTAAGAAGCAGCCTCCTTCTAAGAAGCCTTCCCCTCTCCCCTTACTCCTTCTGCGCGCTGCCGAGAGGAGCCGAACGGGCCCCTCCGACCCGCGCTGAGACGAGGCCAAGATGAGGATCACTTCGGACGAAGATAATCGGAAATGTCTCAGATCCAGTGGCTTTGGAAGATGTCTCGGGCGCCGCGGCCTTCTCAGAGCGTTCCCGAACGCTCTGAGAACGCTCGGGAACCCTCTGGAACAAATGCATCCTCGTGCCAGCCACGCCCGACGTCCTCCGCCACCGTCCAGATACGGTGAGGGCATTATTTGATGAAGGAACATTGGATAAGGAATCCAGGGTCTGGAAGCTGGTGAAATTTCGTTCGTGGATTGGCCATGGCTATCACTGCCGCCATCATCCGATGAGGAACCCGCGAGGGTCTGAAGCCTCCCGGGCACATTCCTGAACGAACGCCCCGACCGTATGTCTGCTTCTCCGCTCCACTCCCTCTCCGTCTTGCCCTCTCCATTCCATTCCCCTCTCCGATCTTCCCTTCACCATCTTTCCCTTCCCATTCCCTATCTCCCCTTCAGTGTCAGGTGTTAGCCTGCGGCAAGTCTTTCAGTTCAGGCCAATGTCTGTAGTAATGCACGTTGCGGCTATCAACGATGATGACGTGTGCCCCTCATCTCGAGAGCGCATTCGATTATTCAACGAAGTAGAAGTCAAGAATTGGGGCTGTCGGACACGAGCGAACGCTGCTGAATATCAAATACGGGGTCGCTACAGTCGGCACTGATAGGAGAACATCTGAAAGAGGAGACACGCCTCTTTCGAAGCCAACCTGTGCGACATACATGAAAGCGGCAAGAAACGCTTGAGACAGGACACGAGGCCATCCATGACTTTGCAGGGAAGACCAACTAGCCAGACAAGACAATTGGCCATTGGTTGTTCGATACCTGGTTCCAGGCGCGATGTCTGGGCTTTACAGGACGGCTCGGTTCAAGCTGGGGTCGGCTCAGGAGTCCTGAAAAAAGAGGGGCCGAACAGCTGCGAACAGAAGTGCATGAATCAAGGAACCCAGGGAACACACAAATAAATACACACAAAATCCGCCGATGAAACCATATATATATACACCCATATATATATATATATATATGTATTAAAATATTGTCAGGGTTCTCGTCTTCACCCCCACTTCTCATATGTTGCCACCTTTTCCTGGAGGTTGACGATTAATTGTGTCTGTGGCTATTTCTTCCTTAATGAATTCTGGCAGCGACGATGTCGCGAGTGAGTGGGCGTGGGCGGGCGTTTGCCTCACTGCTTCGTCTGAGCGTCGCCCCTCCAACAAAAATAACTACACACACATGGCTTTCTCTTCGAAAAGCCAGGCGCATCCAGCCAGCGCGTGAGAGATACAGCCGGCACGTACAGCAAGGATGCGGGATGAGGATGAAGGGGCCTTGGACGCCACCGGCGACGCTTCTCGAGCGCGGCGCGGCCAACGAGAGTGGCCAAGGATGGCCATCCCAACTGTGCGGGTGGACTGCATGGGCAGAGACGGCTCGAGGGCAACAAAAACAGGCCTTGCAGGGCACGGCGAGAACCAGCGATGTGTGCGGAGAAACTGGCTCGGCGAGCGGAAGCGGGGCAGGCAGCGCCAACGGCAGGCCGAACCGAGTGGGCGGGAGCAGAAGCGGCCGAAGCCGCAACGACAGAGAGAGCGACGGGGAAGGCGAGAGAGGACGTGACAAGAAGGAACGCAGTCAACCCGTGTCACAAGGATGCGCGGTAAGGATGCAAGGGGCTCGGAGGCCCATGAGAACGTTCTCCGAACAGGGTTGACCACAAAACGTCGCCAAGGATGGGCAGGAGGGGCAAGGATGCAAGGGTACCCGTGGGAAGGCTGCCCATCCTTACTACGCGGATCGACTGTGGTGGCTGGGTGGCCGCGCAGCACAAGCCGTGGACAGGCATGGAACTGTAGCACGGCAGCGGTAGTAGGCCGTACCAGGTGAAGGCCAGCCACGAAAGCCGCCAAGCGGCGAGGAGCAGGAAACGAGAGGGGAGGTGTCTGGGACGCCCAACGACACCCACAGTTCCCGTCGGAGATGGCGGGCCTGTAGCCGCCCCTAATGATCCAAAGGGCAAGCGGCGGCCAACCACGGAAGCGCCAGCTGGGCCAGCCGTCCGCAAGGACACAACACAGACACACGCACACACATGTTTTTTATCCGACGCAGCGACGGGGGGCAAACACCATGACTCATTGCTGCGGGTCGCGTTGGCGACGAATTGACCACCTTGTGCGATGACGTGGCCAAGCACCACCAAAACACACACACACAAATACACGCACGCACATTCACACACAAACGCACACACACACACGCACACACACGCACACACGCACACACGCACACACGCACACACAGGCACACACACAAACACGCACGCGCATCCACACACGCACGCACACACGCACGCACGCACGCACAAACACACACACACACACACACACACACACACACGCGCACGCACGCACGCACGCACGCACGCGCTCGCACGCGCGCATGCACGCACGCACGCACGCACGCACGAACGCACGCACCCAAACACACACACACACACACACACACACAAACACACACACACAAACACACACACACACACACGCACATACACACACATATACACACACACACACGGCAACCAGCCTGACCAATCGTCACACGTATGACATCGGTCAGGACCTTTGACCAGCCTATAGGCACGACGCACGCATCCGTCATCTCCCCACGAGACCCCCTTCTTCGAGATATGGTCTAGCTCAAAAGCCACGTTGTCAGCCTGTCTCCAGCCCCTGCGCTTCGAAGAACCAAAAGGATAAGCCCCTCCAGACGTCCGCAGAGCAGGAACCCACATACAGCGAAGGAGAGGGTGGCCCCTCTCCGAAAACTTGGAAAGCTCCTGCGGGTCGATGGCGTGAGCCGCGGGTAACTTCCCTTCTATACTCTGGGAAGAAGGCAAGGAAGGCCGTGTCTAGCTGTGGCTGCGAGTTTCCAGCTTTAGCGGCTGCTATCAACTGGCTCCAGTCTGGCGGCTGAAGACCTGGCCCGACTGGAAGCTTTCGCGGAAACGCATCCGGCCTCCGCAACACTCGAACCTTCGAGCCCAGCGGCTTACCTGACGAACTGAGGGTGACGGGCCAGCGCGTCTTGATACCAGCGGCGTCATCAATGACGCCAGTGTCTTGATTCCAGAGGAATTCCTCTGGATGCCTCCTGCCGGTGCGCCCAAGAGTTTCCGCGATACAATCGCCCTGACGCGCTGGTCAGCTTCCTCGCGAAAGCTATGCTGGGTGCAATTCCATCCAGCCCCGATGGTGAAAGAATGCCCACGCCGCCCAAATATTCACCAAACCGAGCAAGTATGAAACTCCCTTCAGGCACCCGGGGGTCCTCCACCAGAAGGTGCACAGAGACGCCCAGTGAGCCCATTTCCACGAACGAGCTGATGCGCGCGACCTTGACCCGACAGGGACAGGGTAGGACCCTGGCGACGTTCGGGGCGGCCCCCATGCCCATTAAATGACGCGCAGATTTGAGCTATGGCAAATCCAGAAGATAAGCCGCCAGCCTCAGTGAAGATCGAGGCATTGAGCGCGAGGTCCCAACCTAGCTTCTGAATGGAGTCCTCCTTATCCTTGCCCATGCCACCAAGCACCCCGGCCTCCTGGAGGAAAACCGCAGAGGCCTCAATCTCCTGCCTTCTCGAAATAAGCATGGAGAGATGCCCATGAAGTCGCGTCGAACGCCTCCAGGAAGAAACGTCGGGCTCTACGACGGGATCCGAGAGAGCTGGGCCCTGAACTCCCAGTCTCTCGGAAGGAGCGTCGATGAATTGAAAGGTGCTGGCCTCCTTGGGCCGAGCCGCCTGCGACAGAGATGAGCTCGGCGCGCCTGGGGCCGCCAGCCCTGGCCGCGGGGCCCGCGCGCGGCGATGGGGGGGCCGAATGAAGGGACCTGCCCCCGCGAGACCAGGGCGCTCTGCGCGATGCCCCCCCACCTTCTGGCCCTAACTAGGTTTCGAAACCTGTTGCAACAAAAAGTGGGGGCGAGAGGCCAGTCTCTCCTGACCCTGCAGCTCTCGCCATCATAATGGCGAAATGGACTGCGGCACCTCATCCGCCTTCGCCTTGGCCGCGGCCGCAAGCAGCTCCTTGGCCGCGGTGCGCGGGTCGCCGATGACCTCGCCCTTGCCCTTGCCCGCGCCGACGACGCCCGCCACCGCAGGAACTGGAGCAGCTGGCGTTGGAGCTGGGCCATCGGCCGTTGGGCTGCTCGGAGCAGCCCCTCCGCTACTCGCTCCATCCTGGGTTTTCCTCTTCTTGGCCTGGAGGCGCTCCTTGACTTGCTCGTGCTCGGCCTTGAGCTCCTAGGCCCTCTCGCGGGCCGAACCGAACAGCTCGCGCGCAAACCTGATGAGCTCCTCAGACAACTGGGCTTCCTCCTGCTCGGCGTTCCCCAGGTCCGCGCGGCCCGCGTCCTCGCAGCCCGCCAGGCCGAACAGGGTCGAGGCGCCGCTGAAGGCGATGGAGGCCTGGTCGTCCAGAATCTCCTCGAGGCTGCTGGCCACAGCTGGCTCCTCGGAAGGGGCAGACGGAGGCAGAGTTGCAGGATGGGTTGTTTCGGTATGCAGCTCCTGGGCGACCTGGGCGCACCCCGCATCTGTCGACCTCGCTGCGCTGCATGTCGAGTGTGGCCTGGATCGCCGACCAGGTGCTCCACCTGGTCCTGCAGATGGTGTCCCGACCGCTAGACCTCCTGGCTGCGCGAGCTGGCGCAGGCCCTCGGGGTCTCGGGAGGCTTCGGCAGGGGCGCCTTGCAAGCCAACCCGTGCTGCTTGGCAACCTGCACGCTGCCTGACTTGCAAGCATACATCGATGAGCTGCTTGACCTCTTCTCCCGACATCTTGCCCACGGAGGGGAAAACACAAGGAGGAGCCACATTGCCAAAAGCAAGAAGCGGCCAACGGCTCTTGCCTTTGCTGTCCTTCCCGATCTTGCCGCCGTCAGCATCGTGGTCGTGACTGCCGTTGCCGAACATCGACTTCCCGTGGCGGCCACAGTGCCTCGCAACGCGAACGGGCCTGAAGTCCAGCACCTTGCCACCATGGTGCTTCCGACATCGCACTGCAGAACGGAAAGACTGGCGAACGCACACCGTTGCGAAAGGAAGAGCGCCCACGGCCGCACAAGGGCACACCGTGGAGATCGTGAGATAGAAAGCCTGCTGCGGGGCAGCTTGCCTCGAGCCAGCCCCTCGGCTTGAGCCAACATGGCTACGGACTCCTGCTGCTGCTGCTGCTCCTCCTCCTCCTCCTCCGGATCCATTTTGGCTCAGGCCCCCGTCGGGCCCCAGGGGGGCCCGACGGGGGCGGCGCACTTGACAGGGGCGCAGCCGCTCCGAGCCGCGGGCAGCGATGGCATCGAAGGTGCTGGTGCCGCTGCACGCGCTGGCGCAGGAGCTGGGCGCGAGGCTCGCGCTCTTCGAGAGGGGGTACGGAAGTGAGGTCGCGGTTCAGGTCGTCGACGGAGTCTGCGATGGCGGACCGACGAGCAGCGCGCACGCCGCCGAGGCGTTCTACATCGTGGTCAACTCCGGGGAAGACGTAGGGTGCGGGATCGGCGGGGGCCCCCCAGGCCAAGCAGGCCAAGCTCTTGCCGACGGAGCTCAAGGCGCCGCAGTTCGACCCGGCGGACAAGATGGCCGACTGGGTGACCAAGTCGTGGAAGGCCGTGAAGAAGCGGAACGTGGTGGAGAGCACGGTGCCGAAGACGCGCCAGCAGTACGTGCAGGTGCCGGTCGGGACCCTGGGGGTGATGAAGGAGCACTGGGAGCGCAGCTGCATGCTGACCGAGGAGCGGGGGTCCCTGCGCATCGATCGGGTTTAACTAGTTGGGCAAGGGCATCCAGAAATGGAAGATGAAGGATCTCAGGGCCGTCAAGCTAGAGGCGGGGGAGAGGGCTGCCGCTATCCAGGCCAGGGCGGCCGTACGCGGGGCTGTGGTGGGCCTGCCCTCGAAGGTGCACGAGGAGCAGGTCCTGGAGGCGCCACCGGGCTGCTGGAGTGATGTTCCTCGCGAGCAGTCGCAGGTGCCAGCCGCAGGTACCTTGAAGCGGTGGCAACGCTTCACGGAGGCCTCGAAGCTGGGAGCGAAGGTCTTCCGCGAGGTCGACTACGAGATCGAGGAGAAGACGCTGGCGGACGCAGCGATGGTGCGGGCCTCCAGGACCCCTGAGGCAGCCGCAACGGTAGCCGCAGCAGTCCTGAAGGTCAAGCAAGCTTCCAAGGCGACGAACGCGCTGCAGGCCGAACAGGTGGTGGAGAAGTCCTCGGGCCAGTCCTTGGCACATCGCGCACGGTCGGAGTCCATCCGTCGGGACCTGATGGAGATCGAGTGTGGCCCGGGCATCAAGGACAAGAAGAGGGAGGACAGGTTTCCGACGGCGCCATGGGCCTCCAGGCAGGAGCGCTCGGGGTCGGAGGAATCGCGTTCCATCTCGATCCTGAGGGACAAGAAAGGGTGGAACGCCTACGGCCAGAAGAAGAAGAAGAGGAGGTGAACACTGCCTGCGAGGAACCTGGTGTGTCCCTCGCCCACGCTGGGCCTGGTGAGCTCGGCCCTGCTACGCCCGCCGTGTGCGCTGGTGACGCATGCTGGCGCGGCTCCTCGGAGAAGGGCGAGTACTTGGTCGACAAGGCCTTCGCGGCGTGGAGGCGGCAGGTCGTCCATCAAAATTAAGGTGTGCGCCGCAGTTTTGGCTCGCGAGACCTGCGACGAGGAGGAGATGGAGGCCCATCTGGAGTATGCGGTGGCGACCCAGAACGCGTACGAGGCCTTCGTCGGCGACGGCGACGGCGGGCACGAGGTCGCGTACCTACAGGAGCCGTCGGAGGAGGGCTTCAAGGTGCAGCAGTGCCAGCAGACTGGGAAGTCTGCCAAGAAGAAGGAGCAGGCCATCGCACAGAAGTGGGGTTGCGCCCTCTCGGTCGGGGTCTCGGCAGGCGCCACGCTGAAGGTCCAGAGCGCGGTGCGGAAGTGGCTGAGCGGCATGCCTGTTGAGATGCGGGGGCCAGTCCTCGACAAGCTGCTCAATGAGGAGCCGTACGAGGGCTGAGTTTTGGTATTTCTTCTTATTTTAGGGGAAGAAAAACCACGTAAGCATAAACTTCTGGCGCTCCACGATGATTTCTTGGATCCGCGCCGGGCCCCCCTCTCTGGCGCGCGGAGGGCGCTGGAGGCGCCGCCGAGGGGGGCCCGGCGCAGATCCGAGAAATCCGCGCGGAGAGCCAAAAGCGTATGTTTATGAGGATTCTTCTTCCTCGACCAAGGAGGAGCCGTGCGGGGGCTGAGCCTCGGCAGTTCTTCCTATTTGGCTGCCGCGGGCCGTGGTGCGGCCAGCGGTCGGGAGGCCTGCGCGGGTCGTGGCGCGGCCGACGCACGGGGGCTCCTGCAGGAGGCAGCGCCAGTGCGCGGTGCCGTTCGCTCCGCGCGGGGGAGCTTGCTCCAGTCTCCACGTTTTGCCACTTTTTGCCTCCTCCTCCTCCTCCTCCTCCTCCTCCTCCTCCCCCTCCTCCTCCTCCTCCCGTTTCCAGTTTCCAGTTTGCACCGAAGGATCCGCAGTCCACAGAGAGCAGAACCTTCAGCAGAAAAGGGGGGGAAGGAGGAGGAGAGGGCACCAGCTACACGGCCTGCCGTCCATACAGCCGTGTGCTGCGCCCAAACAGATGTCGTCTGGCACTCGGGTCACGGCCTTCCTTGAGAAAAGCAAGAGGCTGCGCCGCTGCATCGTTGCGTGGCCGCCCCAGACAGGGGGCCAGCAACAAGTGCATGCGCTGCCTCGCAAACGCTCCGCAACTCGAGCACCAGACGATGGGGAGGGGAGAGCCATGATCCCCAGCCCACAGCCTGTGGGACGGGTGGGCGCTGCGCGCCACACGCGGCAATCCCTAACACCTGTAGCTGGCCAGGGAGGAATACGTCCGACCTGTATCCATGCACCTGGCGCACAAATAGCCCTTACCCCATCTTAGGATAATGTGACCATTGGGCCCAGGAACCAACACAAGGCCGCTGCTAGGCTTACACTTGCTGGCAACCACCTTAGCAGTGTCCCGAATGGACGGGCTGCACACATGTTCAAGCATGGACGCTGTGAACCTGCCGAGGGCGACTATGTTCTTCTCCGCCTCCTCCTCCTCCTCCTCCTCCTCCTCCTCCTCCTCCTCCTCCGCCCCCTCCTCCCCGTCCCCCTCCTCCTCCTCCTCCTCCTCCTCCTCCTCTTCCTCCTCCTCCTCATTCTCCTCCTCCGCCTCCTCCTCCGCCGCCTCCTCCTCCGCCTCTTCCCCCCGCCTCCTCCTCCGCCTCTTCTTCCTCCTCCTCCTCCTCCTCCTCCTCCTCCTCCTCCTCCTCTCCTCCCCCTCCCCCTCCTCCTCCTCCTCCTCCTCCTCCTCTCCTCCTCCTCCTCCTCCTCCGCCGCCTCCGCCTCCGCCTCCGCCTCCTCCTCCTCCTCCCCTCCTCCTCCTCCTCCTCCTCCTCCTCCTCCTCTTCCTCCTCTTCTCCTCCTCCTCCTCCTCCTCCTCCTCCTCCTCCTCCGCCTCCTCCTCCTCCTCCTCCTCCTCCTCCCCCTCCCCCGCTCCTCCTCGATATCCTCAGCCTCATCCTCATCCTCATCCGATCAGAATCAGCATCAGCATCCTCCTCCTCCTCCTCCTCCTCCTCCTCATCATCATCATCATCATCATCATCATCATCATCATCATCATCATCATCACATCATCATCATCATCATCATCATCATCATCATCATCATCAATAACATCATCATCATCATCATCATCATCATCATCATCATCATCATCATCATCATCATCATCATCATCATCATCATCATCATCAGCATCAGCATCATCATCATCATCATCATCACCAACCTCCGCATCATCATCATCAGCAGCATAAGCATCATCAGCATCAGCATCAGCATCATCATCATCATCATCATCATCATCATCATCATCATCATCATCATCATGACCATCGTCATCATCAGCATCATCATCAGCATCATCAGCATTATCATCATCTGCATTAGCATCATCATTAACAGCATCAGCATCGCCATCATCTTCAACGTCAGCAGCTTCATCATCATCATCAACAACATCATCCTCATCCTCATCCTCATCCTCATCCTCATCCTCATCCTCCTCCTCCTCCTCCTCCTCCTCCTCCTCCTCATCATCATCATCATCATCATCATCATCATCATCATCATCATCATCATCATCCTAATCCTCATCCTCATCCTCATCCTCATCTTTATCCTCCACCGCCCATCACCCTCCACCGCCCCCCCGGAGCGCAAGAGAACGGCGCGCCTTCCACCAGGGGCTGAGGTCCTCGACCTGGCCGCCGAGGCCCCCCGTCTCGATGCAGGTCCTCGGCGGCCCCGACGACCCCGCCGCGCCAGCGGGTGCCCGGCGGGGCGAGGAGGAGAAAAAGGCGGAGGAGGAGAAGGCGGAAGAGGACGAGGGGGAGGAGGGGGAGGAGGAGGAGGGAGGAGGAGGAGGAGGAGGAGGAGGAGGAGGTGAAGGAGAAGGAAGAGGAGGAGGAGGAGGAGGAGGAGGAGGAGGAGGAGGAGGAGGAGGAGGAGGGGGAAGAGGAGGAGGAGAAGGAGCGGGAGGAGGAGGAGGAGGAGGAGGAGGAAAAAGGAGGAAAAGGAGGAGGAGAAGTCGGGATCTACCAAAGGGTGGGTGACCCTGAGGGGGGCATGAGTTCGATCTGCTGGTGCACCGATCTGCCGCAAACAGATGCCCTCCGAATTCCAACCCATTGGCAACTGTCGGGAGTTGCCGGCGGCTGGGGGCATCTGTGTTGGGCGGTTCGGTGCAAAAGCCGATCGAACTCTCTCTCTCTCTCTCTCTCTCTCTCTCTCTCTCACCTACACACACCGAGGCACACACACCCTTTGCGAGATCCCGAGGGAGGTGGGGTCAAGGGTCGAGGATCGAGGAGACGAGAGGGTCCAGGCTCGAGGCGATCGCCTGTTCGAGGCATGCCACCCGGGGAAAACCCTGTCGGCCACCCTCTATAGGGGCGGCCGGGCCATCGGTGCGGCGGGGCCGCTCTCTGGCCACGCGGGCGCCGCGCCCAGAGATGCCCATGGATGCAGGAGCCACGCTGGGAAAACATCACGACGCCGAGTGTCTGGGCTGTGGGCGCGCCGAAGTCGAAGAAGCGAGGACGGCAAGGGAGCTCCGCGCAGCTGTCTCGAGCGGACCCGTTGGGCGGCACGCCAGGGAAGGGGGGTCTGGCACCGATGCAAGAAATCCCCGTGAGATGGGGGGGCCAACGTCTCATAAGTGCTGCACTCGGCCTTTTAGTGTTGAGCGTGCCTCCGGCCTGTATTGGATGCCCCCCGCGTGGCAATTGAGAGGAGGGGGGCCGGAGAGCTTCTGACCTCACACCTGGCCCGCCAGCGTGGGAGCCACTGCTCTCGCGCTGCTGGGGACAGGGAGGAGGGAGGAGGAAGGGCGTGAGGGGAACGGATGTTCCGGAGTCCACTAGTCGCCAGTCTACGTGGCACAGGGCACCAGGAGGAGGAGCAGAGAGGACGCTAGCCAGCAGGGGATGGGCGGACAGAGAGATGGGCACGAAAGGCCAGGAAGAGCAAACCGAGGACGGGCACACCTGTACGCCACGAAAAGATGTACACAGACGCGCTCCGTTCGCACTTGGCATGTGCCTTCAGGGAGGGCGGCGGTGTACAAGTCGGTGGCTCTCTGCGGTGACTTCTACACCGCCGCCCTCCCCTGAGGCTCAGGAACAGTCCACTACGCTAGAGGCTCCCCCTCCTACTCCTCCTCCTCTGCCTCCTCCTCCTCCTCCTCCTCCCCCTCCTCCTCCTCCTCCTCCTCCTCCCTCCTCCTCCTCCTCGTCCTCCTCCTCCTCTTTTTCCTCCTCCTCCTCCTCCTCCTCCTCCCCTTGCGGGTGTGTCTGTGTGTACATATTCTCGTGGCGGAGCCCGCGGCAGGCTGGCGCTGCCGAGAGCCAGGCCGGGAGCGGAGCGGCAGACGACGCGGCAGCAGAGGCCCGCGGGGGCAGGGCGCGGCGGCAGGAAGGGATCGCAGCGCGGCGGGAGGGAGGGCACTCCTCCCTCCTCCCTCCTCCCTTCTCCCTCCTCCCTCCTCCCTCCTTCCCTCCCTCCTTCCCTCCCTGCCTCCTCCCTCCTCCCTACTCCCTCCTCCCTCCTCACTGGCCAGGTGGGCGTTTTCTTATTCGGCGTTTGGACACTGGGCGGAAGGGGGAGGGAGAGGGAGGGGGTCTGGCTCTGGACCCCTGCTCAGTGCGCCTGTTTGCAAGAGTGCTGACTCTGGGGGACACTCCGCCCGCTCGAAACAAGCACCAAAAGGGGAAGGGGGGGGGGGTGCGAGGGCCCGCGCCGATCGGCAGAACAATGACTCAATGATACTGGAGAAAAAACCCAATCAGATTTTTGTTAGGGCTATAGGGCTATAGGGCTATTGGGCTATAGGGCTATACGGCTATCGGGCTGTAGGACTATCGGGCTATAGGACTGTGACCTACAGGGCCATAGGGCTATAGGGCTATGGGGCTATAGAGCTATATGGGCTATGGGGCTATAGGGCTATAGGGATATAAAGCTATTAGGGCTATAGGGATATAAGGCTATAGGGCTACAGGGCTATAGGGCTATACGGCTATAGGGCTATAGGGCTATAGGGCTACTGGGCTATTGGGCTATTGGGCACCCCCGGGCACCCGGGCACCCCCGGGCACCCGGGCACCCCCGGGCACCCGGGCACCCGGGCACCCTGGCCCGGCCACCGAAATCGGCCACCCGGGCACCCGGCCCCGGCCACCGAAATCGGCCGCTCACCTCACCTCAGCTTTATATCCGCTAGGACCCCTACAGAAGCAAGCTCTGATTAGGGAAAAAGCACTCACCGGAAGCGACCAAGAAAAAACACACTCCCGATCCCAAAATCGGTGATTCACAGGGGATTCGCGATATGGTTTGCGTCCGTCGGTGTCCCCATGCCGAAACCATACCCTGGAAATCTACCTCCCCGAAGTCTCGAGGGGCCTGCGTTTTGTTTTGGCTCTCCCGTTTTCGGGGTTGGGCGCCTGTTTTGAGCTTGGGACGCAGGGGAGACACACAAAAACAAACAAACAAAACGCCCAGGAAGAGCAAACCGAAGACGGGCACACCCAGGTCCGGTGGCAACTCATGGCAGCCTCCCGTACCACCTGTCGGCTACTGCGAATCGACGCTAAAATGACGCTGCATCGACGCTGAATCGACGCTAAATCGACGCTCGTCGACGCCAACTCGGCGCTACCTGATCGACTCCCAGACGCTAATCGACGCTCGTCGACGCTACAGACGGAACGAAAAAGGGTACACACCCGGCTCGCAGGACTTGCTACCGAGCCCAGGGCAGGGCCTGGCGGTGCCGAGAACACGGCCAGAGCGGGGCGGCCTGCAGGACGACCACGCCACCGCAGGGCCCGCGGCGGCGGGGCGGCGCGGAAGCCCGGCACCGGAGGGGGGGGGCGCGGCCCGCACCCGCACCCCGGCCACGGGGGCACCGCCGTCGTCCCCTCCCCCTGCACCGAGGGGCAGCGTCGGCCCCTGGAGGCCTCGACCCGCTCTCCGGGACCGGCGCTTCCGCCCGAGCCGTCCGCCCAGCGGTCCCGAGGCCTGGCGCGAGGGCCCCGGAGACCGAAGCTGGGCGGGGAGCCATGCGTCGCAAGTGTTGCGGCGGGCACGTCCCTCTACAGGAGGAACAGTCGAAAAGAGTACAACGATAATCCGGTGACGATGTTTCGACTATTCTTGATTATTTTGGAACACTGTTGGGATACTCTCTCTTCTCGCCCAAACAAGCGCCTGTAGGAGGACATGCCCGACCTAACGCAAGTGAGTTCACCACTCGAGAAGGGGCCCCGGCTCTCGCCCAGGCCAGCCGCGCCACGGAGGGGCAACGATAGGGTTAAGTCGGGCCTGTCCCCCTACAGGGGGATTTTCGACGAAAATTAAAAATACATGAAAATACTCAAAAATGGTCAAAACATAATCAAAAAATAGTCCCCCGACTATTTTTTACTTTTTTGGGAATATCCCCCCTGTAGAGGGACAGGCCCGACTTAACGATAGGGGGGACTGGCAGAAAGGGGGAACACATCGGCCTGGAACTGGCGATACACAAGCACTGGGAGGCGCCCCACACGGCTACCGCAGGGGTCCGACCACAAGAAACCTTCCACAAGAAGCCCAACCCTGAGACCCCAAGACGTCCATGGCTGTTTGGTGTGGGCACGTCTAGCTTTTTCCATGGCAAGACCAACGACACCGAAGAAACCCAGGGCACCCAGGAGACAAGCAGGGTGTTTCTTGGCATGGGCCTCTACTCGGGGGCGCGCAAACATGGATTAGCGATCCATGGATCTGGCGCGCGGTCGCCAAAGCCAAAGACGAAAGCAACATCGAGACGACACCGGACCGATAGATAGATCGAAAATCCTTGCGAATCGGCGGCATTGGAGGATGCCGATTCTAGGCCTGTCCGAGCTGGGCCGCTGGGGGCCCAGCGAGTAGTTCCCGTCCGACAGCGGCGCCGCCGTCTCCGCGGGCAGGGCCCCCGGCAGGGCGGTGGACTGCCAGGCCGAGCGCGCGCCGGCGGAGCCAGCGTCGCCCCGGGAACAGCCAGGGCCTGGCACGGTGAACAGGCCGACCAGCAGGTACCTGGGGCGTCCTTCTCCTTCTCCTCCTCCTCCTCCTCCTCCTCCTCTCCTCCTCCTCCTCCTCCTCCTCCTCCTCCTCCTCCGCCTCCTCCTCCTCCTCCTCCTCCTCCTCCTCCTCCTCCTCCTCCTCCTCCTCCTCCTCCTCCTTCTCTCTCTTCGTGAAAGTAGCCCCTGCCTACAAGGAGCAGGAGTGCAAGCTGATGATGCCGCTGCAAGATTCTCTCGGAACGTTGATCGCATGCTGCGAGCAGCTGGGGGGGGTGTCCTCAAGATCGGCGTCGCGCCGATGAGTCATCTCGACCGGACTGTGCAGACGTTTCTCACGCAGCAGGACATGATGCACTGAAGGATAGTACTGATGATGTCTGCGTACAGAGTTGTGTTGCGACGTCGGCGGGTGACGTTGGGGTGCGGACAACTTCGAGTACGCCGATGTCCTTGGCCACGAGTACTGCGACATTGATAGCTACCACAGCTTCGTCGAGGGCGATTGCTACTTCACAGATGTTCTCTACTGCCTCTTCCTCCACCCGTCCTCCTGCGACCGCGTCTTCACCTTCAACCTCCAGAAGTGCGACTTCGTCTAGGCCCACGGCGGGCTCGCACGTAGCTGACCAGGCCGAGTCTCCCCATTTGCCCTCTCTCCCTGAGCCTCCTCCTCCTCCTCCTCTCCCTCCTCCTCCTCCTCTTCCGAATCCGAGGCCTGCGAAGCGAGCCAGGACCGAGCGTGAGGCCCTCCGTAGTTTTCGGGATTCGCGGGGTCAGCGGGGTCAGCGGGTCGCCTCGTCGGATTCTCGGGACATGCGTTGTGATGCCTAGGGTTCAGAAACCCTGTAGGCAGTGGGCAGGCCTTGCGGCCTGGATCGCGGCAGTGATATCAGTCCTCCTCTGTCTCTCTCTCTCTCTCTCTCTCTCCTCCTCCTCCTCCTCCTCCTCCTCCTCCTCCTCCCCTCCTCCTCCTCCTCCTCCTCCTCCTCTCCTCCTCCTCCTCCTCCTCCTCCTCCTCCTCCCTCCCTCCTCCTCCTCCTCCTCCTCCGCCTCCTCCCTCCTCCTCCTCCTCCTCCTCCTCCTCCTCCTCCTCCTCCTCCTCCTTCTCCTCCTCCTCTCCTCCTCTCCTCCTCCTCCCCTCCTCTCCTCCTCCTCCCCCTCCTCCTCCTCCTCCCTCCTCCTCCCTCCTTCTCCTCCTCCTCCTCCTCCCCCTCCTCCTCCTCCGCCTCCTCCTACTCCCCCTCCTCCTCCTCCTCCGCCTCCTTCTCCTCTCGGCCGGGTCCGCTGCACCCAGCTGGGCCCCCCAAACAAAGGAGCGCGCGAAGGTGGAGCCCCGCCGCCGCTGCCCCTCCCCCCTCCCGGGTGGGGCTGCCAGAGGCAGCGAGGTCCCCAGTGTTTTGTACTGTCGAAGCGCAGCCTCAGCCTGAGCAGGTTCCCCAGACCCCCTCGCGATGTGACAAAATCACGACGGGAGGTCTTTCCCCGCTTTCGGCCTCCAAGGGGGCCTCGCCGGGCCTCGGGACCGTCAAGAAACGGCCCTGGGAATGGGTCCAGGCTCCTGGGGGCCACGTCACGTCATGAAACAAATCACAACGTCGGGGGTCTGGGTCTTCCGGCCGCACGACACACACACACACACACACACACACACACACACACACACACACACACACACGCACGCACGCACGCACGCACGCACGCACGCACGCACGCACGCACGCACGCACGCACACACACACACACACACCCACACCCACACCCACACCCACACCCACGCCCACGCACGCACGCACGCACGCACGCACGCACGCGCACGCACACGCACACACACACAAACAAAAACACACACACACACACACGCGCATGCACACACACACACACACACGATCGAACGGTCGCGGCCTCGCGCGAGACGACGAGGCGGAGCACGTCGAGCGGAGCAGAACACCAACGCGCGCGGCCGGGCCCTCAAACGCGGGATCGCTTTTGGGCAACCGCACATCCCACCCAGGCAGGGTGGCGAGTGTTCCGTGGCAACTCACGAGAGCCTCCCATTTCATATTGTCGGACCTTGCGAACTGACGCTAGTCGACACGACTCGGCGCTAATTCGACGCTATATCGACGCCAATCGACGCCAGCCGAAGCGAAATCAGCACATATCATCGGCACCCGGTAGACGGAATGAAGAAGGTATACCAGGTTCCCATGATTTGCTACCGAGAGCAGGCACGGAAGGCGCATGATGTCATGTGACATCACGCAGCACGGCACTACGGCGAGCACACCTACAACACGCTGTGCTATGCAATGGGTCCAAGGCAATACGGGGCTTCAACACCCGCCGTGGTATTCTCGACCACGTATGCTGTTCAACCACGTATTCTCGAGCCGCGAGGCTTTCATGAGAGGGCCTCACCCAACATTCACCCCAGGCTCACCTTCTTGCAGCCCCCGCTCCCCCCACCTTGCCCCACCAACCTTCAACTACCCACTGTTGTGGCTGAGGTGGACGGTTTTCCCCCGGGGCCGCAGGCAACCCGAGGAGGAGAGGGCGAGGAGGGGGAGGGCTCCTCCTCCTCCTCCTCCTCCTCCTCCTCAGATCATACCGCCTCTGCAGTTTGTTCCCCATTATACTCCAAGGCCGCGCTAACGACGTGGTTGGTGAACGGTGCGGTCGGGGATATGGTTGCCGAGACACCGAGCTCACGCAGAACAGAAGGTAGGACTTCACGAGACACATTTTGCTACATTTCAAGTGTGCGAATGTATCGAGCGAGAACGACACAACGAGTTGCAGAAAAACACGAACCACGCGTTCCTATACTTGACGCGGCCTCAGCCCGCCACACTGTTGCCCATCACAGCGACGAGGTTGGTCGCGGTTTAAATGCTCGAACGGCGCCGAGGCATGCAGCCATCCTCTACCGCCCTGGCGCTCGCCAGGTTGACTGTAGCCACAGAGCTGTGAACAACCGTGCCGCCCAACCGAACATAGTGGGCGCGCCCGTGCAGCACTCCCGCCATCAGTCGTTTCGATCCAGCTCCTGCCCACGAGAGCAGCCAACGACAATATCAAACCGTGGGTTGGAGAGGGTTGTCAACCGTGGGCTGGGGAGGGTTATCATCTAAAGACGAAGGACCAGCGCCTACAGAAGTCCGACGCAACAGGAAGGCTCAAACCTCCCCCATCAGCTGGTGAGCATCCCAGGTTGGGCCCCCAGTCACGTCTTGGGAACCGATCGCCCGCCTCGGCGGGTGACGGACCCCTGTCGGTGACAGGGGGCCGTCCCATCGGGATGCCCCATGGCTAAGAGGGGGGAGACCTGAGCCTTCTCTTTGGCGAGTGTGACCCTAATCACACCCTCTGCACCAAGCCTCACCCTAACCGTCATCTTTCGACCTCATGTGCAGCAGCTACCGCAGTTCCACTCCGTCCACTTTTGACCTTCACCCCACCCCCTTGTGGCGGAGGGACGGGATGGTCTTCTGCGGGAGGGGGGACACTGCCAGCCAGCCACCCTGGCGAAGGCCTTGGCTGGCACCTGCGGCCTGCAGCACCTCACCCAGGGGCCTCACAGATCACACCACCTCTGCATTTTGCCCCTCACTCTACCATGGCCGCACATCAGGCCACTCAGCCCGCTACACTATTGCCCATCACAAAGACGAGGTTCATCACGGTTCCATGCTTGAACGGCGCGGAGGCATGCAACCATCGCTTACCGCCCTGGCGCTCGCTGGGACGACTGCAGCCGCAGGGCCGCAGACAGCCGTGACACCCACCAGAACATGGCGGGCGCGCCAGTGCAGCACACCCACCATCTTTGGGGGAGGGCACCGATGATACAGCTACTCCCCGGAACTCTCCTGGGGTGCGTTCTGACCCAGAATTTCGAGGCGACCTCAGCGGTGGCGACGAGGCAAAGGTAAGTAGTGGCATATGGGTACCGTTTCCTTCTCCGTTTCCTCCTCCGAGTCTTTTTTTTCAGCCCGGCTCCTGCCCACAGCACAGCCAACGACCAGATCAGACCGTGGGTTGGGGAGGGCTGTCATCGGAGGTGTTTTTAAAAAATGCAATGATTTGCGATGCAATGCTTCACTGCGCAATGCCACGCCATGCTATGGCATGCTACGCGCTGCCGTGCTCTTCTACGCCATGCCTTGCCGTGCTCTACCATCTCTATCTCCGACGACCGCTCGCCGGAGGGCACCAGCCAAGCACCGCAGCACGCGGGCGGGGGCCGGCGCTGGGAGGGGTCGGGGGATGCTGATGGCGAAGCGCCGCCACCCTTTGTGCGCGCTGCCAGGTCCAGAACACTAAGTGTACACCGACACCGATGGTGGGCAGGCCAATCCTGGGTCCAGGACTGGTGTGTGCACGCGACACAGACTTGCTATAATTAACCTATGGGCACATCCTTCGTCGACATCAGGCGAGGAGCACCTTAAGGGACAGGCCCCGAAATACACGGAGGTCCCGGGAGCCATGCGGCGAGACCTCCGTGCACCGGCCTGCCAGCGTACTATCTGTAGGCTTGCATGCCCGTCGTTGACGAGTCGCAGGCCCAGACACGTCTGACTGAGTGGATTAAGCCAGACAAAGTCTTGCTCGCAAGACGGAGGACGAGGAGGAGGAGGAGAAGCAGGAGGAAGACGACGACGAAGAAGGGAGGGAGGTGAGCGAACGCCTTCGTCGAGCGGCCTGGGGCTGGGAGCGCTCTGCCTGGCTCGACATCATTGCCCTGCCGTCGCGTACCCTCTCGCGATCTTTGCCCTGCTCGACATCCGACTGCGCGAGTGAGAGGATGGTCACGCCATGGTAAGGGATGGAAGGGAGGGGTAGGACGTCAGGAATGACGCGAGCGCTTGCCAAAGCGCGCCACATAGTTAGTCGCCCGCGCTCGCTACGCAGTTACGGGCCAGCGAAGCCCGCACGACTAAGTGCACGTACCACGAAGAGATAAAGGCGGATCGGCAAGAGCGGCTCGAGCTGCGGCGGCAGCATTGAAGAGAAGAAGGCCAACGACCGCTGGATCGAACTCGCGACGAAAGAGAGAGCAGAGACCAAGACGGGCGATGGGAGACCCGAAGAAAGGGAACGGGTGGATGGCGAGAACGTGGCTGTATTGAAAAACGGGGAAATCTGCCTGGTTTTGCGGCCGCAGCCCGTCATGCATCCATGTTAGACGCCATCGTGCACTCGAGCTGAGGCAAGCCAGGCTCCTGCGAGTCTTCAGTCAGCTGTGCTAAATCCTCCACCTCCACCTCCTCCTCCTCCTCCTCCTCCTCCTCCTCCTCCTCCTCCTCCCTCTCTCCCTCGCGACCCGAGGCTGCCGTCGCCCTGCAGAGCGAAGGACTGCTCGGAGACCACACCGCAGGCCCTGCGGCAGGAACGCCGGACACGACGACGACGTCGTCGTCGTCGCCGTCGTCGTCGTCGTCGTCCGTCGGTGTCGGCGGCGGCGCTCCGAAAGAGTCCGACGACGGTTCGGACTGGGGTGCATGGTGGGGTATCCCCCTCACACCTGTATCGGCGGCGAGCGAGGGGGGAAGTGAGAAGGATAAGGCCTTCTCAGAAGGCGGCGGGACTTGTGAGAAGCCCGCGCGCCTTCTGAGAAGACTTATGCGTCTCTGGTGAAGGCTTAGAACACATCTCAGGAGGCCGGGTGGCTTCCGAGCCTTCTGAGAAGGCCCGCCCCATCTTTAGAAAGAGAAGCCACGCCATAAACATGAACTGTTGGCGCTCCGCGCGAATCTCTTGGACCTGCGCTGGACCCCCTTCCCTGGCGCGCGGAGCACGCCAGGGGCGGCGCTGGAGGCGCCGCTCGAAGGGGGCCCAGCGCAGATACAAGAAATCTGCGCGGAGTGCCTAAAGTGTATGTGTACGTCGTTGTTCTTCGTCGAATCCACGGTGGCCGTTCGAGGCGATCCGGGCACCCCCAGAACGCCCTCGGCGAGGCGCAGCTGCTTGACTGCACCCCGAGGCTGGAACATCGCCGAGAACCGGCGATGACGCCGGAAAACCTCGAACTTCGAACGTCCCCCTCGGGCTCGCGGCCGACTGTAAGCTCGGCACCACACTGCGCGCGGGGCACGGACGGCGGCACAGCCCGAGCTCAGGCCGCAGCCCGTGCACGGCCCATGCCGAAAGGGTACGCGCGGGGGGGGCAGGGAGGGAGGGGCAGGGTGCGGGCGCGGGGGCGGAGAAGAGGGAGTGTAAGGACACAGGGGGGGAGGGACGGAGGAAAGGGGGGACTTCTTCTTGACCGGACTGCTTGCCTGCAGCCTCTGCAGTTACAACACTGCACGGAGTGGTTGCACGAGACTGCCGATGTGTATATTCGCACCTGCCGCAGCCAAGCGCTGGCAGTGAAACACTTCAGCGTCGACAGAACGCTCAACTTAGCTCTTTGCGCACGAATGGCTTGCGATCGAGCCAACCACGCGCTGCAGCATGTCAAGGAAGCATGGGCGAGGAGTCCTCCCTGCTCCTGGCTCCCTCCCTCCCTTCCCCGCTCTCCTCCTTCGTCTCCTCCTCCTCCTCCTCCGCCTCCTCCTCCTCCTCCTCCTCACCACCACCACCACCACCACTCGTCTCTCCTCCCTTGCTATCTTCATCCTCGTTGTCCAGCTGCATCCCTCCCCTCCTCTGCCCCCTTGCCCCCCCCCCCTCCCTCCATGTTCTTCACACCCTTGTACACCAATTTTCCTCCCCCATCCTGGCGCCCTCTGGTACCGCAATCCCGCGTGCACAGCTGCGATGTCCAGAGTAACTCCTGAGACTTATACGGACAGGACAGAAGACTGTTCAAATCGTAAGTCGCTGAATTTGGCACCCTGTCTCTATTTCTGTCATCAAGTACCCCTCTCATCGCTGGCGACTGCACAGCGACTGCGAGGCCCTGTGGACTCGAGCCACAGGATGGAAAGTCAGGGGGGTAATACCAAAACAGAGAGGGGTGGGAACCATTGGAATTCCTGCAGAAACGTTCAGAGATAATCGCCGAAGTGTCCGTGAATCGCGGGTGACTGACATGCAAACGTGGTCAACACGCGAATGCAGCCACACACGTCGTGCGGCACATTTGAACATATATGACTTGCCGTGTATCCACATCCTACTGGCCCCCACGCCCAAACAACATCTTCCTGTCGCAGGTGGTCGCAACGCAGCGGCGAAGTCAAACTGGGAATCCAACCACCCGAAGATCGGAAGGGAATCGGTCATTAAAGACCAGACGGGTAAGGGCGTAATGAAAATACCGGTCAGTGGGAAATGTGTGCTGGATGTGGGTATACACCTACTTTTCGCAGGCGACCGTGGTGGCGAGGCGGAGGAGAGAGAAGGTGAGCAGAGTAAGGAGGGAGGAGGAGGAGGCGGAGGAAGGGCACAACGGCACAACCGATTGCATCTACGAAGTAGGCTCATGCCTGGCTGTCTGAGTGAGGCGCCACAGGGGCCTGGTAGTCACATCAGCCCTTTTGGCGTAGGTGGTTTACCAACTTAGCTCCTCCAACCTCCTTCGTCCCCTTCGGGTCGGAGGGGTTGATACCTCTCCCCCGTACCCCCTCTCCATGGGTCTGGCCCATTCGCGAGTGGTCAGGACGCTCGAACATTGTCCAACACGGGAGGCGCGATGACCGCGACAGGACGGCTCCACCTGGCCGCGAAGCCTCCCAAGGACCAGCCCGAGAGGCCGACACTTTTCTAACACCTGGCCTTCTCGCCATTTCGTTTCCGATGGGCTTCTGAGGCACCACGGCAGCTCCCAGATTGCCCGAGAAAGCCCCAAGCGCGGCACGAGAGGGGACCAACACAACTCCAAGAGCGCCCAGAGAGCGCCCCAGGAGGCCGGTCACGCCGCACTCTGGTCGGATCGACGGCCCCCGAGATGGCCCTAAGAGCGCCCCCAAGGCCTCCACGAGGACCCGAAGAGGGCCCCAAGAAAGCCCCAAAGGTCTTCCACATGGACCCACGATGGCCCAAACAACGTGCGAACAAGCTCCCATATCGGACGATCCACTAATGCATTTCTAGTTAACTCCTGGGCCTGCTCAGGCTGATCCCCATCGTCGGTTTGAGGGCTGCCCCCCTCTTTGCTCCACTGCGCGCTCCCACATTTCCTTATCAGTGCACCTCGCCTGGGCGTCGTTGCAGGATGGGCGTATGGGGATACTTGTTTTTTGTCGCAGCCGCCAGCGAAAGCGCATGGGGCGTCCGAAAAGGTCGAGCGGGCTACGCGCGAACCTAATCAAACAGCGACCGAGCGCCGGGGGGGCAGCTGGCTGAAGCTGAGCTGGCTGAGCTGGCTGTAAACGGCCAGGGTTGCATGCTGCACACGTGCGAGACCCAGACGGAACATCAGGGTGAATTGAAACCTGCAGGCCAGGAGACGTCGTGGCCTGGGCCGTAGGATGCCGACCAAGCGTCCGACCAGCGAGGTTGTGCCGCCTGACGGTCAAAAACCCAGGTCGACAGCGCGCAAACAGGAGAGCAGAGTCGGAGGGGTGCAAGCACTCTCGGACCCGTTGTGGATACCATGGGAGCAGATCACCAAGTACGCTACAGGACCTTGTCGCCACCGGGCGCCAGGGGTCAGGGCCACCGACGTGGCGAGGTGCGGGACCACGGAAAGTCCAGCGACAGTGGGCCAGTGGGGGGCTGCGCAGATCACTACAAAAAGGCTGAACCACTCCTGAGTGAGCCGGCGGACAACCCCAAAGGGCCAGCATCAGACACGGCCGGCTGGGGCAAAGACTGAAGACCAGATGCCCGGAGAATGCTGACGCATACGTAGGAACTGGCCTGGGGGCGTGTGTCGGGGACGCCGCGTAGAGGGAACCGCGATTTGCGCGGGATGGGGAGGCCGGGGCAGGTGGGAACTGACCTCACCTCACCGGCGGTTTATGGGGATATATTTTTTTGGTTCGCGGCTCCAAGGCGAAGGACATGGAGCGGGCACAACGTCCGGGGCGCGGTACGAAGATAATTGGCGCGAGATTGCCGCAGACTCCAGCGGACAACACACGCAGCGGCGCATGCACATGCCAGGGGCAAAATACCCCTCATTGAGATGCATTTCAACGTCTGCTGGTGACCTGCCCAGACAGCCCGGCTGGTGGGGAAGCAAAAGGCGCGGCAACCGGCAACGGAACGGGGGGTAGAAGTCGCCCTTGCGGCGCCAAGCTCCAGCCGAACCGCAAAAGCGAGGCCAAGACGGACAGCGAGGCACTGTAAACGCCACTGGCGGAACGCGAGCCCGAGAGGCCAAAGACCAGGTGGAGCCCACGTGTGTGCACACAGAACCAGGCCGTCCAAGACCTCGGAAAAAGGGGGGTGAGCGCGAGCGAGAGAAACTAACTCAGACACACTGTAGCTCAAGCTTATGGGGATACGCGGAGCGGCAAGGGTTCAAGCTTCTGGAGTTCACGAGGCTCACAACCTACAGTAACTAAAGCATGTGATGGTTAGATGCATGGTGCTGTTACGAAAACGAATGGCTGGCTGTTCGGCACGACTGACCTGCGGCGACTTCGGCACGTGCGTCATCCTCCCGCCATCTGCGTCATCGTCCTCCCCTTCCCACCGCCCTCCCTCGATTGCCTCATCCCTCCCCTCGGCCTCCCCCTTTCCATGCGTCGGGCAAACGGGAACAGCGGAGGAGGAGGAGGAGGAGGAGGAGGGAGGAGGGAGGAGGGAGGAGGCAGGAGGGATGAGGAGGAAGAGGGGCTCTGGCGCTTGGGCGCCAGATCCACGGCTCGGGGTATGCGATCCCGGAAGCATGGCGCCAGTGCTCCCCGACGTGGCGACGGGGCGCGCCCCGGCTCTGCAGGGAAGCGGGGCCCGCCGCCAGTCCACGCGCCCTAGTCCATGTCTGCGTTTCCTCGAACGTCCTCGTCCTCCCTCCCTTCCCCACAGGGTGGATGGTTCGGCCGCTGTGTTCTTGTCTGGCCGCCGGGCAGGGTGTGATGCAGATGCTGCTGAAGCTGCTGTTTGAGAGCTCACGCCCTCCGGCCTTCTGGCCCCCGAGGGGGGCTCCAGACTGGAGCGGATTTCTTGGATCTGCGCTGGACCCCCCTCCCTGGCGCGCGGAACCCGCCATGGGGTCCCAGCACAGACCCACGAAATCAGCGCGCACCGCCACAAGTTTATGTTTATACCGTTTCTTGTTCTCCGAGAGGGGGGCCCCAGACGGCGCTGTGGTCCTCGACGCTCCTTCCTGCCGAGCCGACCCGATGCCTCTCCCACGCGGCGGTCCTCACGAGCACGGTGACGTCGGCCGTGCTGTTGGCAAAGCCCTGGTGGCGCACCGCGACGGTGTGCACGCCCGCGTCCGCCACGGCGAGGGCGACCGTCATGACTTCCGGCGACTCGGGGGCCGTGGGGGAGGCAGCAGCCAGAAGAACAGCGCGGGTAGCAGGAGGACGAGGAAAGGCAGGAGGGGGGAGGGGCGGAGGAAGGAGGAACAGCAGGGAGGAGGATGAGGAGGAGGACGAGGAGGAGGAGGAGGAGGAGGCAGAGGAGGAGGAGGAGCAACAGCGAGGAGGAGGAATAGGAGGAGGAGGAGGAGGAGGAGGAGGAGTAGGAGGATGAGAAGGAGGAGGAGAAACAGCAGCATCAGCAGCAGCAGCAAGGAGGAAGAGGAAGAGGAGGAGGAAGAGGAGAAGGAGGAAGAAGGAGGAGGAGGAAGGAGGGGAAGCAGGAGAGCAGCAGCAGTAGCAGCAGCAGCAGCAGGAGCAGCAGCGTGGAGGAGAAGGAGGAGGAGGAGGAGGAGGAGGAGCAGCAGCAGCAGCAGGAAGGAGCAGAGGGATCAGCAGAGAGGGGGGGGGGAACAGGGAGGAGGAGAGCAGATAGCAGGGTGGAGGACGAGGAGGACGATGTGGAGCGGCAGCAGCGGGAGCAGGAGGACATAAAGCAGGAAGGACGAGGAGGACAAAGGCGGGACGAGGAGGGACGAGGAGGACAAGGGAGGGACGAGGAGGACGAGGGAGGGGACGAGAAGGACAAGCGAGGGGAGGATGGAGGAGGCAGGGGCTGGCTCGGGCCTCAGGGCGGCTCGGTCCAAGCTGTCTGGCGGCGGGCCCGCACCTCCCCCGCACGCCCGGCCCGGGTGGCCAGCCATCCGAAGGTGGACGGGCCCGGGAGCCGGGCGGGAGGAGGGGGGGGCGGCGGGCGGGAGGCGGAAAGAGGACGGAGGGGGGAGGAGGGGGAGGAGGAGGAGCAGCGAGACGGAGGAGGAGGAGAAGGGAGAGCACAAGGGGGGACGACCGTGGGAGAGATTGAGAGCGATGAAGAGGGGAGTGAGAGAAGGAGGAGAGGATGAGAGAAGAAAGGAGGAGGGGAAACGAGGAGGGGGAAGGAGAGGAAGAGGAGGAGGCAGGGTATGAAGCAAGGAATGGAGCAGGAAGGGGAGGAGGAGGAGGAGGAGGCGGAGGAGGAGGAGGCGGAGGAGGACGAAGAGGCCAGCGTACGACTAAGAGGCGGGGGAGAGGGAGGAGGAGGAGAAAGAGGAGGAATAGGATGGAGCGGGAGGAGGAGCAGGAGGAGCAGGAGGAGCAGAAGCCGATTGTACTGCAGACCTGCGCATACCTGACCACGAACTTCCCCAGTGGTGAAACATCAGGTTAGGGAGACGACTTCACATATCACTACTTCTGTTACAGTCGTAAGATTCCTTCTGCTACATGACAGATCAGAAGCTCACTGCCACTTACAAAGCCTAATAAACCCCTTAAAAGCATTGTCCTCTTCTACTGGCTGCCATGCATACCCCGGTAACCTACTCTTCCCCTACTACTACAGGGCCACCGTGCTAGCGTCCCTTCGGTTGTTTCTGGAAGTGGCGATATCGGTGGTGAACCGGGTGTACCTATGCGGCAACAGATATCACGCAGCCGCGTGTCGACCCAGAATCGGCGATGCATCGCCGAGGATCGGCGATGGGCCCCCGATAGCGAATCCGCACGCGGCAATGGATGGGCGATTGGGCGATGCATCCCCCCTGAGCTCATCTCCCCCAACGTTGCCGCTGAGTGGTCCTGGTCGACAAGTTTTCGGGTCGTAACTTGAGTCTCCAGCGGCCGTGCGGAACGATCTGGGCCCCCCCAGAACGCCCTCGGCGCGGCGCAGCCAACGAAAATACCAGAAAAACTCGAACCTCGCCCGAGAAGGGTCGATGCATCCGCCCTGAGCCCATGCCCCCCCCCTAACGTTGCCCCTGGCAGGCATCAGAAACAAAGGGGAGGAGTGTGGGCAGGGACGCTGGCGGCGAAGGCACCTCGACGCTGATCGGCTGCCCGGCGCCAGGGGGCGTGACGTCGAGCGCCACGAGCGACATGTTCGTCATGTTCGTGCTTGCCACGAGCAGGTGCACCGTGAGGGTGGGGTGTCCTCCTCCTCCTCCTCCTCCTTCTCCTCCTCCTCCTCCTCCTCCTCCTCCTACATCTGTCCCCCATTAAAATAGCTCCTTCCTGTCGTGCCCACAGGCGTGTCGGCAGGGCGGGCCGGGTGTTTTGCGTTAGACTGCATCACCGTTTGTGATCCTGTTGCTAGAGAGGTGCAAAAGCTTCACGGATTGAAGGCGGGTCGCTTTCAATGTGTGGCTCTCGCTTCAGCGCCGCACGCAATCATCTTACAAGTTTGGCAACAGCTTCACGCATGCAGGGCATGCGATGCGATGCGACCACCGTTGCGGACAGCGTCCGAGCCTAGGGCGGACCAGGTGGGTGAGGCCATGGCCTCTAGAATCTGAGGTGTCTGGATTCATGCAATGCGAGACATGTAAAAAATTAGGAGGAGAGGGGGAGGAGGAGGAAAAGAAAGTCCTTGGTGTCGGTGTCGGCGCTGGTTGGGCGAGATTACGTCATTGGTCTGAGTCCCGGGTGCTGGTCGACGTGAGGTCGGTGAAGTGGTGCTCGAGCGCTGTCCATGCTTCGGTGTCTTGGGCTGTTTGCGTCCATGTGATGTCGTTCGGCTGTCCTTTCGAATGGGCTTGCGTGGGCGGTCGGTGGAGGTCTGGTCTGCGTTGACGTAAGTAAATGGTGATTTCGTCGTCCCAGCGCTTGTTTTGGGCACCGTGCTGCCTGTGTCCCTGCTGGCGCGGGTTGAGGACTGGGTGCCAGCGCAGCACTCGCCATGTCCACCTCGTCCAGTCGTGGTTTGCGACTCGTGAAGCCATGCGCCAGAATTTCCGTTTGTGCAGCGTCTCCCAATTGTCGATGTGGTGGAGCTTCATGAGGTGCTCTTCGCGTCGTGTCGCTCGCTGGATGTAGTCGACCCATGGTTCCATTTCGTCTGCGGTGGTGCTGTCTTCGCCGTCTTCGCTGTGCTTGTCAGGCGTGTCAGGTGCATCACGCTGTGATGGGTTGCTGTCTGCGTCGTCACTAGTGCTGTTGGTGCGGTCTTCGTGGTCTTGTGCTTCGTTGTTCGCGCCGTCGAGATTCGGTCCCTGGCCGCTGTGAGGGCCGGCTTATTTTGTTGTGCGTCTCCGTGGCGTTCTGATGATCAGGATGAGGATTTCGTCTAGGCTCCGCGCACATGCGCCTCAACAATGTAGAGCAACTTCACGGAGGGAAGACGGGTCCATTTCAAAATGTGGCCTTCGCCTGACCACGGCGCTCATTCAATTTCAAAGCTCGCAACAGTTTGAAGGATTCGTGTGGTTGAAGTCGCAGGAATGGTGCCCTGTCGCTATTTAAGGTTGTCAAGACACATCAGTCGCGGTGACTTGACGTGTTGAAGTCCCAGGCATGCTGTTCTGGCACAATTTAGGACTGTCAGAACGCATGTTCCCTGAATGCTTTCTGGCACGAATGGAGATTTTCAGACGGTTATCTTATAATGGGCCACTTCCCGCAATGATGGTAAACTCTGGTAGGAACCCATGAAGAAGGAACCTGGCAAGAGGGCTTACCGCAACATCCTTGGTGCGTCTTGCATCTACACTGGTACTCCTCCTCATTCTCCATGTCCACCTCATCGTCCACTGGATGCGAATCATTTATCCGATCCCGATCCCCAGCGGCGTGGCCTGGGCCCCACTGATCGATTTACCCTCTCAGATGGGAATATAGGCCGTCCCCTTCGGGCTTCGAGGGGTGTATCCCCAACTGGGGGGGAATTTGGTGGAGGATCTCGAAAGGGATGGGGATGAGGATGGGGGTCGGCTAAAAAACACTGGCTGAAGGGGTGGGAGGGCAGTTCTTCTGGATCTCTGGATTGGCCGCGCGCGTCTCGTGGGGGCGCGCGAGGTGCTCGCAGAGGACACAGGCGCCCCCGACACAGCGCCGACGGCAGCGGACGACGGCGGCGGGACGAGCGAACGCGGCGATGCGATCGGCGGCGGCGACGACGACGACGACGACGACGACGACGACGACGACGACTGCGGCGGCGGCGGCGACGACGACGACGTCGACGACGACGGCCGGCTGGAGCCGCGCGGCGGGCAGTCGCGCCTCGGGCGCGGCGCTGCGGCCGGGAGGGAGGGAGGGGATGAGGATCCGGCGGAGGAAGGGAAAGCGGCGCATGGCAGCAAAACAAAAAAAACAAGAAAAGGGGCATGCCAGAAAAAGCATGCCATGAGGAAGCGGCGCATGCCACAAAAAAACAGGGGAGAGAGGCGACGTGGGTCGGCAGCAGAGGGGCGGGCGACGGAGGCATGGGGGGGGGGAAGGGGAGAAGAGGGGCAGAAGGAGGAGGGACGAGGAAGGGAGGGAGAGGCAGGAAGCAGGAGGAGGAGAACGACGACAACCACGACGACAACGACGACGACGACGACGACGACGACGACGACACCGACGACAAGGAGGAGGAGGACGGCGCAGCGAGTATCGAGCGAGAGAGGAAGGAGGGAGGGAGGGCGAAGGAGGAGGAGAGGAAGAGCAACGGCAAGAGGCACCACGAAGTCTCCGCGCACGTTCCCGGCGTTCGGGCCGATGCTGCCGTGCTGCGCCCAGGCCGCTGCCTCACGGCACCGGGGACCCACCGTACGGGGGTGGGGTGGCAGGGGAGGGAGGGTGAAAAGGAGGAAGAGGGGGAGGGTGAGGCTTAATTATCAGAGTGGGGGGGCCGAGCGGTCATTTACTGTCCCTGGGCGCGTGGTTGAAGGGAGGTTCTGCGGTGCGAAGTGTTATTGCTGATGTTGTTCCTGCTGATGTTGTTGACGTTGACGTTGATGTTGTGATTGTGGTTGTGGTTGTGGTTTTGGTCGTGTTTGTGGCTGTGGTTGTTGCTGTCGTTGTTGTACGTGCTGTTGTTGTGGTTGTTGTTGTGTTTGTTGTTTGTTGTTTGTTGTGTGTTGCTTGTTGTTTGTTGTTGTCGTCCCCCTCGCGACCCGTCACGAGATCATACCGCGACC